GTGCCGTTGACGAGATTCGGCACGGTGACGACTGGTTTTGGGTTTGGATTTGGGTATGGATCAATACCTATTAATACCATTTTTAGGGGTTGAACATCCATTTACCAGCTATTTTGATGTGAACTACAGGGGTACAAGGTTTTGACACACTGCCATTTGATGATTAAAAAAGCTTCATAAATTGGGATATATCTATTACACAACTATATATCTTAAGTTATAAACCTTTAATGATTTTAAGCTCCACCCATAAACAAGAAAATCTATAGGTTTGTTTGATGAGTTTATAAAATTATCACCAAAACGATTTTAACCCAAAATAAATTGGGATATTACACAACTAATTATTGTTATAAAACGGTGGTTCCAAAAAACACCACTCTTGAGACATGTTTTTTCAGCAAAAAAAACTGAGACAATGCTAACTGGACCTGAGATCATGTCTCACCATTCCAGATCATGAGGGATAATTCTGGAGATTGTTTTTTTAGACCTCACGATGGATTATGGTCTTTGGGTGACTAGTGACTAGCCCAAAAATGACTGCTCACTTTGCTTGGTGAATTGGGATTGAGGCTATTGAGGCTGGAATATGAGAAATTCATCAGCAACCATGGGCAACATAGTTCAGCTGATGTTCGGATATGATAAACCTACGTATAGTAAACCTTGGTGAGGGGTAGGTTTTTCGGTGATATTCGTGCCAGTAAAATGCTGAGGCTCTTCAGCATTCCATGGGCCCAAGATTTGGGAGATTTGACCTTGAATTTCACGGACAGAAACCTCAGCATGGAGGATGCTTTCCAGGTCACCTAGGGTATGACGAGCATCGGCCCGAGACAGCATTGTTGCCTTTTCGGATTTTTTTGAGAGTTTTTCAGATAGATGTTTCAAGTAAACGTTGCCTTGCCAAGTGGCAAAAGTGAGATTTTTGAAATTCCAGGGTCCTCCAAAGTAGGGGACTTGAAGATTCTGGCCCAGGAATCTTTTGGACAACGTTTCCTTAGGCTGGTGAGTGCAGAAGGCAATAGCCTGCTTGATCTCCAAGCTTCTTTACAAACCGCAGGAATTCGGGACAGAGACCGCCTGACAGCAATTGCATGCCAAGCCAAAGTAGCGGCATCCAGGCACGCCTTCGCAATGTGCTGCACTGGGGGTGACAGGATTGTCACCTGGGGCGCGGCAGACCTTGGTGGTGACAGCTCTGAAATTCAAGATCAGCTGAGAGTAGGACAGATTCAGGATGTTCAGACCACAGGTTCAGCATTTGCCGCGATTCTGCGCGATGGATACGTTATTACATGGGGCGCGGAAAACTTTGGTGGTGACAGCTCACTTGTCCAGGATAGGCTCAAAAGTGTTCAAGAAATTCAGGCCGCAAATCGGGCATTTGCTGCGATCCTGGCAAATGGATCTGTTGTTACATGGGGCGATCCATGGTGTGGTGGCGACATGTCGGCAGTGCAAGACCAGCTCAAAAACGTGAAGCAAATTCAGGCTACAAATTTTGCATTTGCCGCAATCTCGCAAGACGGATCAGTAGTGACTTGGGGCGATCTAGAGGGTGGTGGTGACAGCTCTGACGTCCAACATCAGCTCAAGGGTGTAGAGCAGATTCAGGCCACGAATTCTGCATTTGCCGCAATCCTGACTGATGGATCTGTCGTTACATGGGGCAGACAAAGCCATGGCGGTGACAGCTCTGCAGTCCAAGATCAGCTGAAGAGTGTGAAACAGGTGCAGGCAACCGAGTGTGCATTGGCTGCCATTCGTGATTTGCCAACTACGTCCACGTCGTTATCACGGGCTAGAGATTCTTTCTCTATGGCGAAACGTTGGCAGGGAAGACAGGCCTGTGTAGGTAGGCCATCAGTAGCAATGCTTGCTTGGCTCTTGCTGTGTTGCACCTTGAGCTTTGCACAAGCAACAGACACAGATAGTGATTTTGATGTGACTTGTGGGCTTTCCCATTGTGTGTCAGTCAAACTCAGTGAAACGGTGCAGACGTTTGAAACCAATTTGCAAATTGACTTTGGAAGATTCTATTTTCCTTTGTCTTTCACGCGTGGGCCCAGTTTGCCTACCAGATGCTTTGTGCCATTTGCATGATTGCAATGCCTATGATTCATAATTGGGGTTATACTTTCTTCCTCAATTGCGCCTTGGTGCTGTGTCGTGTCCTGTCCTCGCCTGAGCCTTGCACGTCCCAAGCACAAGTTAACATGGCAGACGCGCACTTCGATCCACAGTGCCTCATGCCAACCGGTAGCAAAACAAGATACCCTCCGGTCCAACCTGCCCAGTCCAGGTTTGCAAGCTGGTGTCGCTTCTTTGCCATGTGTTTTAGGAGACACAGGACATGTTGTAGGCACACCCCCCCAGCCGCCCGTAGAGCTGGGATAAGTAGGGTCAAAGGCCCCAGACGCCATTGGAAATTTTGGTGGCGCAGACGGTTCCAGAAAAATCAAAATGAAAACCAAACTTTGTCCTTGCGCATGCTTCGCAAAGTGTGGGAGGAAATTCATAATTTTGCCTTGCATGTTTACTTTTGCATACTCAGGGTTGTGTCCTGTGTTCGCTTTGCTGCTACATTTTGGTTTTGGTTTACGCCACATGCCGCGTTCAATCTGTTCAGCAATGCCTGGAGATGGGGTTCTGCCGTACATGCCCAGTCGGACCGTTTGCCTGTCCGTCCAGCACCATCCCAAGGTTTGAATACCATGTTCCGGGGTGGGGGTAGAGGGGCTGCCAGAATCACAGCACACAAGAAAGAAGAAAATGGAGAAGCTGCGTTGTTACATGCCCTTGCCAATCTTTTGCGCGATTATAAGCCAGAAGCATCTGACAAGCGACCGCATCACCCAGCCTCCAAGACAAAGCCATCAAGACAGCAAGCACCAGCCGATGCTGCACAGGAGGGCCAACCCTCACCAGGAAACAAGCCTGACACATCCGAGCAAAAGCTTCTCCAATCTCTTGAGCGGATCATTGCCCGGGCACAGCGAGAGCCAGGTTCTCTTTTGCGTAGGCTCACTGGTCTTGTTCACACCGCTTCGCAGCAACACAGCAAGCAAAACAAGAGCCAAAACTGGCAAGAGCAATAGAAACGCCAAAACAAACGCAGCGCTACCCAGGAGCCGCAAAAAAAGAAGGCTAAGTATGACCCGAATTCCGAACCCAAAGGAAAGGGTGCAGCTGCCAAAGGCGACAAGCCTGTTTCACAGCAACGCTCTAATGACACCACATGGGCTGATGTGGTCAAGAACAAACCCAACCAAACCCTGGACAAAGGAAAGGGGCAAGGTTTCAGCCAAAAACATAAAAATAGCGCCCCAGCCCAATCCAAGGGCCTCTCTAAACACGGCCCCAAAGGCCAAAAAGAAAGCCAGTGGACTCTGCTGGAAAGCGCATGTGCCAAGGGCGCTTTGGTGCCCTTTGTCAAAGTCAAAGAAAAACTTGAAGCCGGGCAGTCACCAGATGGATTGGCTTGCGTGTGCCAGACCTTGCTTCAAGTTCAGGATTTACAGCGTCTTGCCACGCTACACAAACTTGCAGAAAAGGGTTTTGCTTTGATTTTAGCGCCAGACAAGACCAAAGCGGGTGAATCCAAACCGGTGTATTTGCCCACCTATGAGAAAGGCCGTGTTTCCATTCGCCAATTTTGTGTTTTCCCCTTGCTGAAGACCCTGCCAACCATGCCTACGCAGAAAGCTAGAGCCACGCAAGTTTCAGCTGAGAGAGCCGCTTTGGCAACTTTCCGCCTCACTGTTCCTAAAGTCATGGTGACTCGTGATTTGTGGGAGACTTTGAAGTGCAACCCCAGAAGTTTGGTCAACAAGACCTTTGGGGAAAAAATCGTTCACTCAACGTATGGGTGGAAAGAAGTCAAGTTTGCCAACAGAAAGCAATCAGAACCTGAGATCCTCTTGCAGGGCTTCCTGCGTTGCCCGGAGAAATCTGTTGACCAGGTGCTGCAGCTCAGCGGCAAAGATGGTATCTTTGCTGACAGACTGACCAATGAACGAAGCCCACGACCCAATGTGTGGTGGATCCCAATCAAAGAAGGTGAAGACATGACAAGCTACTTCACCAGAGCCACAGAGGAAGCTAAAAAGGGAAATACCAACCTTTGTTTCCGTAAAGGTGGCAGCACATGCCTCGGCCTTCGTCTCCAAGCCAATAAATCCATCCCGCAGCTCCACGCATGGACACTCCACGGTGCTCCGAGGCATTGGTTTGGCCAGGATGTGTTGCAATGCTTATTCGATGCTGGATGCAGCGAAGCAGCCATCATCAGACCACCGGGCAAGCAGAAGGCCTGGCTGGTCAAGGCCGTTGTGCCCGATGAGAATTCTCTTGGGGTCATGGCCATCCATGCGGGATCTCAAGTCATGTACCTGAACCGTGTGATTAACAAACAACGACGGTCAACTGAAGTCATGACAGTGATCCGCTCCAAATACCCAGCCAAGAGCATTCAAGTCAGCCCAGATGAAGTTAACAAGAAAACGGTAGCCTCCAAGCCGGAGAGACCTCGCAGCCGGTCTCCCAACAAAGAGTCACATGACAGTGCAAAAGACAATTCAAAGGCGGCTCCCAAAGCCAAATCTAAAGAAAATGGTGTTTTCGCCAGAATCGCAGATAGAGTCACTTCTGTTGATTGTGGGGGAGCAGGTAACTGCGGTTACAACTGCCTCGCGGCAGGCCTTGCCCTGGATAGAGGCGAAACTTTTGAGCACTTCGAAGAGATGCTGCACGCAAGAGGCAGAACTGTGAGAAACGATATTTATAAACATTTGGAAAAGCATGCAAGTGAATACACACCCTTTTTCACGCCTGCTGCATCAAATGAAAGTATCGACGCCGGACCATCCCCCACCACTTGGAGTGAATACATGGAATGCACTCTTCGTGAGGGACGTTGGATCGACGGCATCAGCCTCAAAGCTGCCAGCAAGAGATTTGGAGTTCAAATCATCGTTGTGCCCTTGGAAGGTGAA